ATATAGTCTTACATAACAAAACTGGACCATAATTTTTAGTAGGAACTAAACTGATGCGAAATGAAGACCATATTAGCTTTTTAAAATGAACTAGCAATTAGCCTGGCATAGCCCCTTTAACTCTTTTTTGACGGCCAATTTTAGTAGAAGAAAACCCCGCCTTTTCACTAAATCCTCCTTTTTGGACCGGCTTTCAACCACGGTTAGTAGCCTGCATAACAGGCGTTATTTTTTTCGCGTTTTTGCAGGAGAGCGAAGGCAAGCGCGAAGTGAGAGACTGAAGCGCCAGACAAACGCGACGGGGAAAACGCAGAAAAAAACAACCACCTGTCCACATACTATTGTTTTTTTACATTCCGCCCCAGACATACCCCTTAGTGGCTCTCCTCGCTCCCGTCGGGCTTGCATTCGCTCCGGCTTCGGGCTTAATTGCCTTCGCTCGCCTGAAAAACGCACGCCTGTTTTGCAGGCTAGCCAGTTAGCTTGATATGGGAATGGCTGAAAAGGAGATTTGCAACACAAGACTGCTCAATTGGACGTACACTGATTTAGAAGCTTTTTTGGCGCATTCACAGAAACCAAAATTTGGACATCTCTTTCGAACCTATATCGATCTTTCTCTCGCAAATTTGCCACATTGTGTCACCAACCTTGACAGCAACTTGTTATCTGGGATATCAATTTTTCAGATCCTTTACTTAATTTTAGCTTCATTTAAAGGCGCTTTCATCCTTTCCCCTACGTTTCGAATATACCACGTACCGAAACTACAAAGAAAAATCAGGCGGCACCATTTCTCTACAAATTTGACTTACGCAAATTTGTGACATTTTTCTACTTTTGGAACTTGAGTTCAGCTGAAAAAGTTGTCTGAAGAACGCTGAATATTTAACACTTTTTTTAAAATTTCCTTCCCAAGTTAAGCCATATTTTTCTAATTAGAACTTTGTGAGGGAGAGCGATGAAAAAAACGAAACCTTCCTAAAGGTGTAAAATGCATCTAAAATTGTCGGGGAAAATAATACAAGCTAATACTGCGGAAACTCTTGCTCCCCCGGGAATTTTTATGGATTTCAACTTCGGCCCTAAAGTCCCCTTTCCTCGGTTTCCTTTATCTTGAGTTTCCACAAAGAAAGAAAATTGTTATGGCAACAAACAATAGCAGATTGAATTCAACCTTTTTACAGTGAAGAGCGAAGGGAAAGAAGGGAGAAAGTAAGAATTAACAGGCCATGCAGAAGCTAGCGAAGAGGATTCGTGTGGAAAATTTATGCAGCATCTGTATACTTGTTTACGGATATCTGAAGCTCGAGTCATAAGCCCGCCGAAAGAAGCCAAAAATTCCAGGTCAAAATTTCCCCACGGCCAAAATTCCACCGTAGAATCCCACTGCAACGGTTTAACTTTCATTTTGGCTCCCCAGCCAAGCAATTGCGTCCCTGTGAGCGAAGCCAAACGGCAGTTTGTTTCCCCGATTAAACGGTCCAACGCTAGTAGAAATCCGCGTCCAAAACCAACACGACAAGTACGATGACCGTTGAAATCGGCTTGGTAACCACGCCACGCTGCCAAACAATTATTCATCGGGTACACTTTATTTTTCCGATCCGTTGCGATTTAAACGATTTCCTTTATCTTGGGTTTCCACAAAGAAAGAAAATTGTTATGGCAACAAACAATAGCGGATTGAATTCAAACTTTTTACAGTGAAGAGCGAAGGGAAAGAAGGGAGGGAGTGAGAATTAACAGGCCATGCAAAGCTAGCGAAGAGGATTCCTGTGGAAAATTTATGCAGCATCTGGTTGCTTGTTTACGGCTATCTGAAGCTGACAGAGTTTTGTGTCATCTTATTATGTTTTAACCGCCTTTTCACACTGGATCCACAAAATAAAATACAGCTGCTATCAACGGATTCTTTTGTTATTCGTAGCTGGCTTGTTTATTGGGTTGCGCCGCTTGACAAAAAGTAATCGGGAATCATCGTTTTCAAAATTAAGCTTACTTCACCTTGCTGGATGCGTAAGCAGTCCAGGATCGTTATCAAATTTGATAACCATGTGACGTCACAACATGGTGGCCATTTCAAAAGTCGGGAATTTTCGTACTCGCCTTTCTTTATCCGAGATTTTGTCCGATCCTATTCGGTGTAAACTCGTCAGGTACCAATGGTTCTGTTCGAATCATTGTTTTTGCTGATTACAGAGAGAAACGACTAAATCGTATTGAAACAGTAAGTAGAAACAATATACGTCCAAATGAGTGCAAATGGTCTAGGTTTTAACGGCCCGTAGTAGCTTTTAACGATCGTTAAAAAAGCTGAATAACAGCGTCTAAAATTTGCATATTTTAGCCGGTAACGATCGTTCAGAGGTGAAATGCTGAGAATGGCAGTAAAATAAACTATTTCCTCATTCTAACTGCAATTTAGTTTTAAGGATGGATAGTGGTATTGATGATATAAATATAAGGCAAAAGTGTTTTCGAGTCTAAAATCGAGTGGAACGCCTTTAGGGACATTGCCTCTCAAATGCGGACGTAACCACCCACACTGCTCGGTAAACAAACTTTATCGAACTCAATCGAATCTAATCGAACCGGTCAGTATAAAACACGGACTGCAGACTGCAGACCACGGACTTTGGACTGTTTATAAATCACGGACTACAATCACAGACAAAAGTAGTTGGAAGGGTCTTGTACAACTTAATAGTAGTCCATTTTAATCCTGAAAAAAGAGAGTTTTCTCTTTCGCTAAATATCCCCCGTCCCCCCTATTCAATGTTGGGATATAACAGAACAATTAGGTGCACAAACATTAACGTTTTTATCAACATTGGGCCAGGGGTAGGGGGAAGAAGGAAAAGAAGAGGTAAAAAAGGCAACCTTCCCAACACTTTTAACGATGATTGTAGAAGAATAGGAAATCAACTTTAAACCCTTATAAAACTTGTTGCATTTAACATTTGATTGAGATATCTCGCCCTGGAACTGTGCTGATAATGCACTATCCAACCTATATAAAAAAAATAATAAAGGTTATATTTCGGTAAAATCATTAATAGGAGAATTTTGCATCTGACGTGCGTGACATTTCATAGCGCAACCACAAAATCCACTGGGTGAAAACGCTTTCTTTTGAGAACGTCAGAAGAAAACATTTAAGGCATATAATTTTCCTCTTGAAGCAAGAAGACGTTTTCTTTGCGTGGACTATGTAGGAAGAATGGCCACAGGTGGTCTGTTTCACTAGATTTAACGAAAAGTCATGAGGGTATTTTTAAGTTAAAAAATGCTATACGATTGCTGTCGTTGTCATGTATACATGCATCTTTTTCATCAGCGGCATTATTCCTGGTTAACTTTTGCCGTTTCCTATCAGCGAAATATTTTGAAAGATGTTACAAATAGAAATGGCATAAGAGCTGCCACAATAAAGTTTTTTTTTTTCATTCCGGCGGTGTTATTAAACTATCCTAGAAAAACGTGATGTTTGTAGTTGCGAGGGAGGAGCGAGATAAGTGCCGAATTAAAATCTTCTAGACTGTATTTTTGTAAGGCCTGAAAGTGATAGGGAACCTCTATAAAAGAAATTATTCAGCCATGTTCAGCGTTCATATAGAAATTGCTGTGCTAGCGTCGCCTGTCAATCATTCAGTTAATTTGAGAACAGTAAACAACATGGGTTTCCGCAAACTCGATCACATTACTCCATAAGAAAATGCGAAATATATGCACAATGAACCAACTTTCAAACAAGAAAAGGGCAAAAACAGGTAAACCATGTAAGAATATGGACAGCTTTTGTCGCATTTATCTACGGGAATAAATTTAACAACTGTTTCCCAACATTACTCCATTTAAACAGTGCCCTTTAAAGGTCAGTTGGCAAAGTTAGTTTAATTTTAACGCTATCCATGGAGTAATGTCGTATTTTACTTAGAATTAAGCTAAAATGTCTATTAAAATTCGTTTGGTTAAGTCCTTGCAAAGCCCCGAAGAAGTCAATTAGGCTATTTTGCTCGTTAGCGCTACTATAAAGGAGTTATTTTCGGCTACAAAAATGTGGAGTAATGTGGTGTGTGATGACTTTGCATGTGTTACCCTTTTACTTAGATTAACGAAGACACTAGACGCCTTATTCTAAATCAAGAGCGTACTTTGTTCTCGTTTTCTGAAACCAGTTGCGAAAAGCAGTGACACAAGGGCTTAACTAGAGTTATTCAGCCGGAGAAAGTGGCCTCTAGAATTCGGCAAATCTCCACTCAGCCTCATAGTTTGCTCGCGTGGCAAATTGGCATGTGCTGAATGTTGTAAAGAATGGGGAAGCTGCTATATAAAGAATATGTCAGCTGCAATGTCGCGATGCGAATGATTTTTTGGGGAACTGGCGAACGCACTATATCTTGCTTTAACATTTGGAGCATATCAGCCTATGCTATAGTCAATAGCTTTCACAGAAAATAATCCTACATTTGTATTTTGGCCCTCTTCCTGTGCCCCGGAAAGAACAATAGTTGTACTTGCCGGATTGCAAAACATGCCGAATATAAACAGACGTGTGCGCCAAAAACTGCCTAAACAAGATATGGCAAATATTTTTTTCAACAGAGTACTGTCTACGTGTGTTTTTTGAAGACGTTTCTACTGCCAAAAAGTCGTCGATTTTTGACCCTTTATGGCCACGCCCAGAATTTTTAGACAATCACAGACAAAAGTAGTTGGGATGGTCTTGTACAACTTAACAGTAGTCCATTTTTAGACTAGAAACTATGGAGTGAGTATAAAACACGGACTACGGACTCTGTATGTAAAAACAGCATTTAGTTGCGGGCGAAGTAGGTGAAGCAACAACTGTCACCGGCGGTAGGAATAAAAGAAAACAGTATCCTGTAACATCTCGTCTATTTGCTTATCAAGTGCCCCCCCCCCTTTCACGCTCTCAAAATTTGCAAAGACGTCTTTTTTTTAAATTTCAAAATAGGTGACAGTGCACCCTTTAGTCAAAAAAACTTACCATAAGGACATGACCCTGCTGTCAAGGAGAAGTCGTCAATTGCTATGTCACCAGTGTCACTACTTCCCACTACGCCTTCAAATATTACCTGTCAAAGGTGAAATCAGTCCAGAAGAGCCGCTGTTGTTATTAATGTCTCTAAATTAATGAAAAATTATCTTCGAAGTTGTCAAAAAACTACAAACTTAACAATAGAAATAAGGAAATGTCGGCTAATAGCAAAACAGATCCTTTTGGAAACACCAAGCGCATCATATTTTGCACTTCATTTACGGACTTACTTGCACCACTATGAGTAAGAAAGAATAATCTTGCTATGACTAAATAATGTTACCAAATGGTAACTCACTTATCTGTGCTTAATTTATAATTAATGGTAAAGATGAAGTATTATAACGGATGCAGTCTAGTTGACTTTTTAGTTTTTCATTACAGACAGAAGTACAGAAACTTATGGCTAAAGTAAGCCTCGGAGCAATGTGAATTAGTAAAGTAAAGATTCGGAGCAACGAGTTAGTAAAAGAACATAGACTCGAGAACCTAAAGACGTCTTCTGGATCGGTGGACCTGCGCACCCTTCAGACCAGAAAAGTCTTTTTATTGAAGGTGCTTTCAGTGAAACTGAAATTACTACCACTTAAGGATCGCAGATAGGAATCTACGTTCACTTGTTTTTATAAATTTAACTAAATAACAGCAAATAATGGCCAGCATTGGTGAAAACTATCAGTTGTAACATACTTTCAACGGTGAGCACAAGTTCAGAACCCTTTATTAAAAATTTCCCGGACCGGCTGCCATACTTTAATGGCAATTAAATTAACAAAAAAGTGAGCTATTGGTGGCTTATGGCTCCCAACCCGGTTGGCTTCCCCAATTACCGCTCTCAGAGAACAGCGTTTTACCACCATTGATGGGGTCATTAAAGTTTAAATTCTAATTTTACTTCCAATATTTTCATTATCCTAATTTATTGTTAAGTAATGAGTTGATAAAAATAAAGATTCGGTTGTTGTTATTGTTGTTGAATTAGAAGAGACACAAAAATAACGCATGGCTTACCCTATGCAATCCCTCGATAGCTGATACATTTACGCTGGCTTTACGCCACATGTACATGCCTCCTTTATCACCACGTGCAGAGAACACTAAGTTCCCACTTACGTTGACTTTCAGGCTTTCATTAGTTGCACCAGACATATGGTAATAGAACTGAAGGCACATATTCCCAAAGAATTTCATTAGAGGACTGTACAATTTTGCGTTATCACCTGGTTGTCTTGGACTGGATGCTTCTATATACATGTAATAACCTGATAGGGATGAAGATGGTTAGAGAGTAGCAACTTAGTCTTTTTCGGTAGAGGACGGTCCAATTTTGTCATATCATCCAGCTCTCCTGTGGACTAAATATTTCTAAAAATACATGTAATAACCTACAAAGAGGAAAAGATGTAAGGGAGGCAACAAGAAAAAAAATTGACCAGAAGGCACTGAAAAAGTATCCAGTTGGCTTAAAACAGTATTCTAACAACGTTAGTTCAGCTTAAATGACGTAGAATGGTCATCTGAAGTACCTATTAGTAAGTTCCCAAGTTTCCTTTTATTCGTTTTATTTTTTTCTTTGAAGACAGACATATTATTCATGGTAGAATAAGAGGGCAAATGACAACAAAGCCCAGGATGTAAAGAGTAACTGCAACCTTGTAGTTGCACCGATCTGAAGAGGCAGTCGAAATTAGATACTCTCGCCTACATTTAATACACCTGTGCAACAAAAAAACAAACAAAAACGAGCAGTTTAAAGGGGCTATGTCACTCCTGACGCATGCGCGAGTCAATGAAAACAAACTTGAAAAAGTCGGCCCGACTTTTTCAAGTTCTGTCGGAGATTTTGGAAGGCTGTTTTTTATCTGGCTAAATCTCAGCCATTGTTTGATAGTTAGCAAAGTTTTGTATTAAGAATCGTTCTATGGTGATTACAAAAGAATTTTTTGGCGTTATTTTGAAATTGTTTGCCCGTGGAATTTTTTTACGTGGATTTACAGTGTCCGCTTATCAGCGGTCGTTGTAATGGCAGAGAGTTAACGACGGCTACTCCACAATGAGTGATGGAATCTTTGACGGAATCTTTCGTATAGTTCACAGAACCTTTTTGTTGAGTTATTTTAGAGGCTGCTGGCTCTTGGATTTTTTTTGTGCTCAAAGTATGTGGACATACAATGAAGCGGCTCTCGAGTTGGCGGCGGCCGGTTTTTTTTAAACGATTACAACAGCATGGCCATGAGTTTCGTGACGAAACTGAACTTCTGGCGAAGAAAAATTTGTAAAATTCGGCTAGATTCCTTCTTGTCTTTATCTTGATTCACGGCAACGATAAACACGACCCGTTTCGCTCGTCCAGATTGTTCTCAACGGACTTAGAGAGGCACTAGGACGAGTTAGAACTTGTAAATGCCATGTTATTGAACTGTTTGTGTTTGAGCATATTTTTAGAAAATGGAAGTGTTTACTTTCCCTTTTTATCAACGGACTGCTTACAATGGAGTAGTATACCAATGATGCTTAGTTCTGTTCTTTCTCGACGTGGCAGTGATTCGGCACGATCGAACAATTTTGCGCGATCAATATGTGTTTCCCTAAGATCAAAACACAGACTTGATGTCTCTTGTTCTGTCAGATAAAATCAGTAGCGACAGACAAGTCTAATTGTCACTGATTTGAAACAGCCTTGATCTTTATCTTTGGTCTAGCGTGTTTTGTAGGTCGTTTATATATATTGTTGTTGAATTTTTGTTGGCGCTCTGTTTTTATGAACGGCATGCGTTTTTACTTGAAAACTACAAGTAAAATTGTCTTAACACTTTTATTCTTCATCTACTAGCATAACCAGAGAAGAAACGTTCCTTAAATTCTATCGAAATACCCAACTCGCTCGTTAACCTCTCTCTAAATTTCGGAGCCTTGGACGTCACAGAGAGCATGGAGAAAACAATAGAATTTTGACAGTTGAAAGTAATTTGCATAACCTCAGCGCGCATGCTCTCCAGCTGACATAGCCCCTTAATCTAAGAAAACAACAGCAACAACAACAACAAAAAGAAAGGGTAGAAAAGAGTGACATGTAATTAAATTTGCAAGACTAAAACCACAGGCAACCCAAGCGCACTATGTGTGGGTCCGGGCTTCAGAGGTCATTTGGTCGGAATATACTAGAATTATTAGTGCTTCTTGTTTGTTTATCTGTACTAGTAGCCTTTAAGATAACGAAGGTCGGTATTTCTTGCATTATTATATGAGATTCGGGCCCTTATTGTTCGAATTTTATCACATGTATTCGAATCTACGACGCTAAGAAAAAAAATCATGATCACGCAAAATGTTGATTCAAAAAGCTCCCTTACCTTTAGTTCATAGTCACTCTGTGTCCTACGACCGGTTTAAACGCCGTTTAGTTGACTTTCTTTCCATCGAGTACTGAACACTAAAGTGTTCAGTAGTAATAATGCAAGAAATATAGACCTTCGTTATCTTAAAGGCTACTAGTACAGATAGACAAACAAGAAGACTTCATATCTTTAAGATTTTTGCATTTATTTGGCATCAAATATCACACTAATAATTCTAGTATATTCCGACCAAATGACCTCTCAAACCCGAACCCACAAATAATGCGCTTGGGCTGTCTGTGCTAAAACTAGCGACATTTTCGTGAAGAAAATGAAGTAGAAATGCCTACCAACTGACTGTTAAATTTGTTATACGTTATTACAATTCTCGTTGCTAATAGTAGGACTGGCTAGATGTACTGATGAATTAGTTTAGAGCTCACCGGTCAAGTTTCCAGTGGTGTGATCAAAGGAAGGTCCTGTACCACTAGAAGGTGTGCTTCCTTTGTGTCGAGTCCAGTCAAACTTGTCATTATTGCCTTGCACGAAACCGCACATTGAAACATCAAAGTTGCATATTATTTCTAAGTTAGACAAAACAAATAAATTCTCATACTAAAAATTGAGCCTTTTTTCCTGGGGTCAACGATCACCTCAAAGGTATGATACGATCCTAGAAAGTACAATTACGCAGGCTGACCACGAGTTAGTTAAGAACGATGAGGCTTAACCTTAATTAACACCTAAGCGTAAATGCAAGCGTAATCAGGGAACGTGGTCTCCAAGTAATTTTGGAATTCGGGTCTTCTAAGTTGACTAGAAATGCATCCAAGAATGGCCCGGCCACTATATTTACTAGGAGGAGAGGTGCATAGTTTTCAAAATATTTGCGTTGAAGGGCTTAACTGCGGGCTTTATTTATTTATTTATTTATTGATTTATTTTTTGCTTCAGGCAACCGAGGCGATTTATCACCGATTCCAAATTTAAGTGCACTTTCTTCTAGAAGTGAGTCATACCATAACACTGGTGACCATCTCCCGTGAATCCTGGCTGACAGCTGCAATTAAACTGTCCAGGGGTATTTATGCAAGTTGCATTTTGGTGGCAATCATGGCTACCGTTGCTGCATTCATCGATATCTAATTTTATTAGAATTAAAAAGAAGGGTAATCAATTAAAAAGTAGGGTAAAAAAATGTATTCTAAGACATAATTCAAGATCGACATAAACTTTCAGTTCAATTGAAAATCGGGCAATATTAATTATACCGTGACATTGGCGGCCATTTCCTGTAAATCCTGACTGACAACTGCAATTAAAGCGTCCAGCGGTATTTGCACAAGTTGCATTTTGGTGGCAATCATGGCTACCGTTGCTGCATTCATCGATATCTAATTAAAAAGAAGGGTAAAGAAATGTATTCTAAGACATAATTCGAGATCGACATAAACTTTAAGATCAATTGAAAATCGTGCAATATTATACCATGACATTGGCGGCCATTTCCTGCAAATCCTGACTGACAGCTGCAATTATAGTGTCCAGCAGTATTTGCACAAGTTGCATTTTGGTGGCAATCATGGCTACCGTTGCTGCATTCATCGATATCTGAATAGGATTAGTAAAAAAGAACAATTGGCAGAAGAAGTTCTCGTAAACTAAATTTCCTTAATACGAGAGATACAATTTACGAAATCAAGTGGACGTTTTTTTTGGAAGACTATAGCTGAGAGGAAAAACAAGGGTGTCGGGCAATATTTACACAGGTTGCATGCCTTTGGAAAGCTTATCTGCTATTGCAAAGAGACAGAAAAGAAAACAATGAAGTGTTTAAAAAAACGCGATTTTCGATCCATTATTAAGAAGTAAGATAAAAGGTGTATTGTGACACTGCGTGAATTTTTCGCCGAGTTGCCTTTTTTAAATTTATATTCAGATCATTGGAACTTTAGGAAAACTCGGACACTGTTTTCCCATTACATGTGCGGAAATTTGCGCTGTGTTGCCTTTCTTTCAAGTTTAAGTGCACTTCCTGCTAGAAGTGAGTCATACCATAACACAGGTGGCCATCTCCCGTGAATCCTGGTAAACAACTGCAATTAAAGTGTTCAGGGGTATTTATGCAAGTTGCATTTTGGTGGCAATCGTGAGTACCGATGCAGCATTCGTCGATATCTATATAACATGTGGAGAAAACATTATATAACATTAGGCCGGTTTCTGTATATTACAAATTTTAAATAAGCTACTCTTGCCCCATGGTATGGTTGAAGTGGGAACGCGAATTGTCTGTATAGAAATCTTTGAACACTGTTTCTCTGGGTTTCCAGGCGAGGCGTTAGGTTCGAAAAAGGTCTGTGGGAACGGTGGTACGATCATGGTGCGCACATACCCTCCCATGGACCGCGTCCGGTCTGTTGGAGGGTTAAACAAGTGCTGGGGGGGACTAGGTACAGACAGTATAACACGATCGAATGACGGTTTGCTGGATTCTACAATATAAAAACAAAGGCGATGCAAGGTACAAGGGTACAATGACCAATCAAGGTCATAAATAAATCCTCTGCGCCCTGTGATATAGTCTCCTGTAGCTTGTTGGTAGAGCATCTGGGCTATTAATTTTTTTTAGGTTGAACAAATTTGAGAGAAAAGCAGAACACGTCTCAAAAGATAATGGTCCAGTTTTGATTTTTAGCACGTATATGTTTAGGCATTGAAAGTGCTTCCTGTAGTCTGTCGCTACGGATGGAAAGAACAGGGACATGGATTGAAACTTGAAGTTGAGTCGACGTTTTTAACTATGAATGCTTAAGGCCTGCAAAAATCACCAAAAAATTATTATCATGGATATTGCTCCCTAACGATTTGTCTGATATTTTCTTCATAACTCTAACAGGAGCGTTTTGTTTGTGATTTAAAATGAATTCAGAGCAAAATTGACCTGAAACAGTCATGTCCTCGTGACGTAACCCCTTTAACACGATCACCTCCGGTTAAAATCACGACTGCATTTTTCTGGCCCGAACAAAAGTCCATGCATGCATTTCTTTAGTTTTACACTCTCGTCGATATGGCCACCTGGTTATTCTGCTGGCAGAAGTCTCTCACGTCGAGGCGTCGTGAGAGACCTCTGCTAGCAGGGAAGGTCATTACAACCAACGGCCTACAATTTTTGGGATTTACCGTTGCTTTTTTTGAAAAGTTGTCTCGTTAATAGGACTGAAGACTGAAGTCATGAAAAGTCGAACGCTTATTGAAACAGGGTGGCAAGCGTCGGAAGCAATGAATCTAACAAACGGTGATGATTTGCTATTGATATTCGTTAATTTAACGTCAGAATAATATGTGCGATACTCAGAAGTTCGTCATCACACAGTGAATTAAGTGGGCTTAAGCTACACGCAAGCCTGAGCTACACAGTTTATAAGAAGATTAGTCATGATCGTTGAGGTATAAAAAAATAATAATGTTGTCAAATCAACTCGGTTTCCACTGCATCATTAAGAATTATTGTAAGTGTGAAAGCAGACACCTCGGTGATGTAACCTGGTGAAAGGTGTTACATGAGAGGACACACAGGTAAGTATCCCGGAAAGCTCCATACAACTCCTTATAATTTTAATGTAAGGAATTGTGTCGGGGCTCTCACAGAGAAACCGAACGCTGTATTGCATTAGATAATGGCATTTTTAATTCACCTGCAAACTTATCTAATAGTCATCTTAAGTGAGTAGGTTTTGGGAATGGGTCCTTGATATTATACTTCTATTACTGACAATCGGTCATTTAGAAAATGTTGTATTTTTTCCGCTGCACTGAGACTTACATTTAGCGGCTATTTGTCCTTTCTGTTGAGTTTTGTATCTTTTTCTGTGCATTTAGGATATGGCTGGATTCTATTGCGTTTTGCCTTAAACTGCAGGGGAATAAACAAGTAATAGTTTTCCTTAGTATTGAAACTCATTTAATTGCAAGTCATGAATTTATTAACCTAGTATTATCATTTTAACAACTACCGACCTTCATGATCAGATGCTCCAGAAGGCTTTGCTCCAGCAGTAGCCCTTGAAGAGCAAGAAATCAACGGGAGGCACCATGAACTTTATACGTTTATGTGTCTAAAAGCTTTTCACTCATATGAAAACCGTATATCATAAAGATTTAAAAATGTAGAAACTTTTGAAATCTAATATTAAGCAAACCCTTTTTGTTAACTTTGACCATTTTATAGGTTTTTGACTGCAATGATCTTGGCAGGCATAATACTTTAATAACTACAGAAAAAAATGGCGCTCCAGGTCAAAGACTCACTTATTCCAAGGAGAACTTAATGGACTGCATCAGCGCCTAAAAATGATCTTGAGTGAAAACAAAAGAAGCTAAAATCTTTATTTTTAGAAAATAATTACCCAATATCAGGAGCCAATATATATGGAACATCTTCTTGACCTCTAAATGTATGTCTTAGTGCGGAAAAAATAACGTTTGCTCAGTAAAAGTTTAGAACGTTCCACGCGTGGCATAGTGACCAGGGCGCGACAAAGAAAACCCCTGTTGTTCAAGCAAACTCTAAGGTCACGTTTCACAATATTACGAATTTTTAAGTCGTGTTTATTTCAAACAATTGAGAGAGTCTTTCTAGACTGCTTGCAGCCCGCCTTTTTTCGCATAGCCATTTTCGTGACAGCTAAATGTAAGTCTCAGTGCGGCGGAAAAAATACAATTTTAGAACGCTCCATGTGCGGCATGGTGACCAACGCGCGACAAAGAAAAGAAGGAAGACCCTGTTGTTCAAGCAAACTCTAAAGTCATGTCTCACAATATAGCGAGTTTTTAAGTCGTGCAGTGTTTCAAACATTTAAGAAAGTTTTTCTAGACTGTTTGCAGCCCGCCTTTTCTCTTAAAATCTGTTTAGTTTTTATTCCAGCGACCGAGATAATGTAAACAACGACTTCATAATAGAGAATTTACCCTGGTTGCCAGAGACTTTCCATGTCCGCGCTTTCCGTTTTTCGCCCTAAGCTTTTCAGTGAAATCAGAGAAGGTCGAGACGCCCTCGTTTAGCACTTCGCAGCTTCGCCACTTGTCCGCATGGTTTACGCCTTGGGTAACTTCGTAAAGAAAAATAATAGCGGGGCTCTCTCGCGCGAAGCGCGCCAGCGGAGCACCATGGGTAAGAAAATGAAGTAATCTACCAATCTGAGAAAATTTGGCAATCACGTGACCGTACACCGCCCGCCCGCCCGAGAGACCGTCCGTCCGCACCACAGGCATACCGATGTAAAATAACTCAATTAACAGGTGTGGTAACCCAAATGCCGACTCGAGGTTATTTTGGCGGGAAATCACATAGCCACCGGCATCTTGTAAAGCAGAGACAACAGAAGAGTCAATAAAGACGAAAACGGAAAGCGGCAATTGTTTCTGCATCCGTGTTTAGATGAATTGTTATGTCCATAAATTTGGAATATAGAGCAAGAGAAAGACAGAGAAAAAGACAAGGTGGGCGGCAGGCCAGCGAAGCTCAACGAGAAAAAGGGCGACAGGGATTTAGAGCGAGAGATAAAAAACAAAGAAGACATTTTTTTGTTGGGAGAACA